TTTTTGCCAAATTGTCCTACAAAGATCTGAAAGCTGAGTGAACCGAGGGGACTGAATTGTTTCTCTTTCTCTGCCCTCTCAGAAAGACTGAGGCCAGCATGGGCATGACTGTACTGAAGCAAATACTTGTCCATAAACTTATTCTGAAATGCAGTTGGATGATCTCCTGTCTTTTTGTCAGTCCCACCTTCTAACCTTTCTAATCTTGAGAGTTCATCTCTATTATATGTGGCTCTTACAAATGCCCATGATTAATAACTGCTGTGATTCATTAGCCTGTGTTGTTGGTATTGTTTCCCCAATGGGAGCATTTGCCATCTAGGGATAGCCCATGATTACTCTGCCTTATGGAACAGCAAGATGCTTTCAATCTAATGCGCTGTCCATGTTTTAGCATAAAATAATATTAAGGCATCCACATAATGGAACCGTCTGAAGATCCATTTTATTAAGCACTGGAAGAAAATGTGTGTGTGTGTGTGTGTTTGCATGTGCAAGGGGAATATAATCAGCAAATCTGTTTCACCAGAAACATAATTTCCGTGAGGGTTTCGTGTAAAGACGCAGCTATTTTGAGGTATAGTTCTTGGGACGTGGGGATGAAAAAATACTCTCTAGCCAATATCTTACCTGGTGCAATTAACTGACTCAAATTGTATATGACCTATTCAAAGAAGGAAAAATAGGGAACAGAGGTAGTAGGTTTATTGTATTTATTCCATTTTGCGGGTATTTATTTTAAATGCAATCTACCTTCAAGTACACAGCTGTACTGCTCTTAAAAGATTACTGTTTCAAGTTACTTCACATACCTTAACAGAGCATGTAACCTTTTTACATTATATGATCAACTTTTTGACAGTGCAGGGCCAGCACAGCTAATGGAATAATAGCCTGCAGGGTCCAGCTAAATGATATACGAATATAATCAACCTTTGTGATGACTATTCAAAAGTAATCCCTTTAGCTTTCAACTGCAACATATATTTCAACCGGGCAAAGCCGTATGAAGAAAATCTCTGCAGACTCCACTGATACAATATGGCCTTCATATCCCCACAGTGTGTTTGCTGCTCACAGTGAGTTTTAAATTTAAGGTAATGGCTACTGTATATTCATGTGAGCATAGAACAATACCTTTGATTTGTTGGAGAAATGTTACATTAGCTACCAAGGGCCCTATTCAGTAAACTTTGACACAACCCTTATATATGGTTTACTGCTTATTCTAAATGGAATATGCCTAATAAAAATGGTTTGCATGCCCAAATTGTACAAATTCATTAATCTTTATATTCATAAAACCTCCAAGTACAACTGCCTCCATTCCAAGTGAACCTAGTCAGGATACATGGTTAAACAGGTTGGCCCAACCTACTTTTAAAAATGCAATGCATCAATTTTCATTTATCAAGACAGAAAAAAAAGTAGGAAGATTGTCTACAAGTGTGTGATGTGCATATTGTTGGCAGTAATATTATTTTATGCTCTATCTTTGTTCCTCCTCCATCATTCTACGGATTACATAACTGAAAACAGCTGCATGACCTTTAAAAATGCAAGTAATTTTTAAATTACAGTAATGGCTTATATCTCATCAGCTCATTACACCAACGTGATAATATGTTGAGATAGTCTTGCTTTCTCTCCCTTTTGTGACAAAGATGCAGTATTGGCTAATAGTGGATCTGAATATGTGGAATTAATTCTGTTAGAGGAAAATATATGTAATGAAAACACTGTGTTGCCTTGTATTACTACTTTTGTATGTACAATATAGCAAGAGTTTGCTCCCATTAACAGCAGTTGCAGATGTGGCCTTGTTTGCCTGTGTGCACCTGAAAATATGTAAAAACATAACGGCACTGTTATCATATTTTGTTTGAGGTGTTGTGTTATGTGTTATGGGATTACATGCCACTTGAATAAGTTGGCTATCGTGCAAGAGTAGGACAGGCTACGGGCTTTTCTCCTGTTTCTTTGCCATGTCACTTCTTGAGCCAGCACAAAACTTGTGCATCCTCAGCATCCTGCAGCAGGGAGTTCCAAGGATGAGTTGACAACGCACAAAGAAGCCCTTCCTTTGTATCCAAGGCCACCACCTGCTGCTTTCAGTATATCCCACCTCATTCTTTCATTGGAAGAGACAGTAAAAAATGGTTTCTAGGTCACCTTCTGCATGCTACCCTCATTCTTGCTTTTGTCATCTCCTCGGAATATTGCCTATTTTTTTTCCAAAGCAGTTTCTGCTGCCCAAAACAATAGTGCTCTTATGACTTCATCACTTCGTGGAGCTTTCAGTGAAATTCTTGTTTAATAGATTCCAACAGTCTCTGAACAATGCAAAACTTGGATTTGAATGCTCTCCCATTGAATGGGCATGCAAGTTCAGGAACACAGGTGTTGCCTCTTTCATTTTCTTTATAATCTTTTGAGAGAATGGTGCCTAAAATTCCTGTCCTCTCAGGAGTTAGTTGTAGCTTCAGTCTTTGTAGGTGTACGTTTTGCAGGCTTTCATTCTTTTATATGACTTTTCATTAATTATATTGTGTAAAGGTCTCACAGCCCTGCATTGCTTTTTCCCAGGAACATAATGAAATAACGCGATTTTTAGAAGTGTAACATTCTTTAGATAGGCACAAGTAAACAGCAAGAATAGAGATGCCAATTCTAGCCACACTGAAAATTCGGTCAGACAATTTTAATTATATTTTATCAACAGCAGTGGTAACATGTCAGGAACATTCTATTATGATTAATTGTATTTACATGCTATTAATACATATTAATGTTTATCTCCACATTTTGCGCAACACAATAAGATGGGAGGAGAATGCTTGATGGTGTGATCTGTGATGGTATATATGTATTATCATTATGAATATGAGATGCTTTTATTGTTCCCAAATAGCATAGGCCAAACGAATGCCAAGAAAACATTTATGGCTCAGTATTCCATCAGTTATCCTTGATACGCTTATTATATGCTGGGAGGGCAGAACTGTTAATCAGGCAATAATAGCTTGGTGTCCAAGTGTGAAGGCAAAAGGCCAAAAGGTGCATGAGAAAAGCAATTTATGCTCTAACTCCCCATCTGTCACATACACATCCCCACAGTCTTTTGCACGTGCAAGATACGTCACAGTCAGAGACGCTTTTATGTGAATTTACTTGGAAATACATGTTACTGTACCTGGTCACATTTTGGGCTTGAATCACCCACTTGTCCGGCACCACTTTTTAAACAAAGAGACTCCTCTAGAAAGAGCAATAACCAGCTGTGCTGGTGTAAAGCTGGGGTGGGACAATGTAGTTCTGACCCCTGTTGGCACCTCTGAACTGCCTGGGGGTCTCGGCTGCTTCACACTGTTTGAGTGCCTAAACCAAACCGAGCACAGCCCCTTGTATTCAATTGGGTTTTATTAGATTTTTTTTCATTTAGACAAGGTCTGCTAGGAAAAGGAGTTTCCATTGATATAGTTTAGGTCTGGTTTCAGAACATGTTACCTGGAATAATTACATTGTTAAATACAGAGTAAACCACTAACGTACACAGTGCCCTCATACAAAATGAGACTTCATATACAACTTAACACTAATTCTCAGATATTCTTCATAGATTTGCTTATCCTACTCTTACTTGTATACGGTGGATGAAGTGATAGTCAGCAATTATACTTTACTTAATAAAAGCCTATGATATGATGAAACAGAAATCTTATTGAGTCTTGAGTGGTCCAGTAGCTTTAATCTGTTCCAAATATTGCACTAGCGGAGACACTGCTTTGAACATTATTTTTCATCCCCACCAGAACTGTGTTAATATATTTACTTTGGATATGAATGCATGCCGTATAAGCACCACAGGTATTGCTGAGACTAAAAGACCAAGTCTAGTTTAGGGATCACAGTACAGAGAGGTAGTGACAAACTGAGGAGGATCCAGTTAAGGATTATACAGAGGTCAGAAAACATGAGTTCCTTTCAAATATTGAAGAGACTGCATTTGCACAGCCTCAGAAAGAGAAGATTAGAGAAAGGAAAATAGTCTCTCAAGTTATGAGTTATTATAAGAGAGAACAATGTTCCATTGCTTTTCATGTCTACCAAAGGTAAAACAAGAAAAAGAAATCAGTTTAATTTGCAATAAATATTTATCTTAAGTATTAGGGAAGAAACTGAGCAATAAGATTGTGAAGCACTGGAACAGAGAGATTAGGGATGTTGTGAAACAGCCTTCATCAGAAACCTTTGAGAATAGATGTCAGGATGGACTAGATATATGTGCACTTTCTCCATTTGAGGAGGTGAACCAGATCAGTGGTTCCCAAAATAAGAAACAATCCCCCAGGGATGGTGTGGCTGTAATGAGGCAGAGGGAGGTGTACTGCCGAAGAGTCACTGGGAACGGAACAGAAAGCGCAGCAAGGAGGTGGGAATTTGGTATGAAAATGGAGTGAGGAAGGAACAAGGGGGAGCATCACAGATCATGGGAGCAAAAGAAGCTTATGGCTGTCAAGAACTGCAGAGTTATGCCATGGCCTCCCAGCCACCTGTTCTTTAGATCACATCCCCTGAGAGGTGACAGCCTTTCCTATTCAACCTCCTCACCCTACTCTTGCTTCCTGCACTGCTCACTTCTTCCCCTGCATGGTCTTCTTACTGCCTGCCATCTTTCAGTGCTCTCTTTGCCATCATCTTCTCCCAAATGCGTCTCCCTTGTTGGCTCCCCAGCTGGTCCCACCTGGACCTGTCCTGTAAAATCAGCCCGTTGGAGAACCACTGCACAGGAGTGCAAGAAATAAAAGCAGAAATCCCTGTCAGTTTTGTATTTCTGGGATTACATCTTATGTGTCTCACCTTTGTGTTGTCTTAGATTTCTTTCTCTTGTGACTTTTTACTGTGTTACATGTTTTTCTAATAAACCTTCTATGGCTTTTTTCCATTAAGAGTCTTGTGAGTCTAAAATACTAATGCACTTTTTTTTTTTTAAATAACAGAACTTGATAAAGAAACAAGTGCCTCAAAGCCTCTGTGAGCCTCTGTCCAAGACACGAGTTCTCGTTCCTTCCTGGTATAGTATTTGTTCTTAATTCGTAGTCTTTATACCAATATGCTGATTTTTGCAAGTTGTCATTGCTATCAACACTTAACCTGATTTTGACAGGAAATCGCACATCACCTCTATTTTACTTTGTCCAAATAACAATATTTTTACTGCTCATAAATGAATGAATTCACACTTCCCTCAGATTTTTTAGATGTGTTTTAGAATTTAACTGCCTTTGATCATGTAATTGCTTTTAATTTACAGACATAAGCCTTTGAGACAGAAAAAATCTATTAATCAGATGCTGAACCCAAGTATAAAATATGTAGATATTGATATATATACACATAAACTTATGACATTTTACTATTTTTCTATTTGCTGTTTTTCATTCTAGAGGATGCCTCCTTACTGACAGAGGAGCTGACAGATGTATAATGAGTACAGGAAAATCCTTGAGGAGACATGCAACAAAGTAGGAATTTCAGTAGGGATTTTGTCGTTAAAATGGGAGCACAGTGTTGCAGTACAAATATCTGAGAGCTCTAAGATATATTATGACTGAAATGTGGCTTCAATGTGTATTACATGTTTTCATCAAAAATAGCTGGTGTTGTTGAAATAAATAAAAACAAAGAAAAAGAGTAGTAGAACAGAACGTTTATACTTTGTGCCCCTAATGCTTAATGTCTTCCAAAGTGTCAATATGCTCCCATTAAGATATTAAACATCATTTATGCCTATGGAATTGGAATCCAAGCCACTCAATAACTTGTAAGGTCAGTTTCCAAATGTGTCCAGAGAATTTTCTTTAAAGGCCATATAACTCTCCCTTTCAGAAAAACTTATTCATAGGACTACCAGTGATTTTATCATGTGTGCTCAATGGCTGGGGTTCAACTGTAGCTTAGAATAGATCCAGCCTGGGTGGCACACTATGGTGCAATTTTGATCTAATCTACAACATAGGTTGGACCCAAAACACAACTAAGTTTGTTTAAAGTATGATTGGGTATACTCATGAAACTGTTGGAAGCCTGTACAATCAAAGCATTTGGAATGCTATTAACTGTCTCAAGTGCAATATCAGTCTATATTCACAGCTGAAACAACTGTATTTAGCAATGAAAGTGCATCTGGTGAAATACCTGTACATCGCATTTTCAGAACTGAAGCCAAAACTCCCCTTTTAACAAGACCTGTGGGCAGAGAAGAATTGTCTGAGATTCAACAAAGGCAAATGCAGGGGCCTGCATCTGGGGAGGAATAAACCCAGACACCAGTTCAGGTGCTGGAAAGCAGCTCTGTGGAGAAGGACCTGGAGGTCCTAGTGAACAACAGGCTGTCCATGAGCCAGCTGTGTGCCCTGGGGGCCAAGAAGGCCCATGGTATCCTGTGGGGCATTAGGAAAAGCATTGCCAGCAGGCCAAGGGAGGTGATCCTGCCCCTCTGCTCAGCCCTGGTGAGGCCACATCTGGAGTTCTATGTCCAGTTCTGGGCTCCTCAGTACAAGAGACACATGGAGCTCCTGGAGTTGGTGTGAAGGGCTGTGAGGACGGTTGAGGGACTGGAGCATCTCTCATATGAGGGAAGACTGAAGGAGTTGGGCCTGTTCAGCTTTGAAAAGAGACAACTGAGAGAGGTCCTCATCAATGCTGGTAAGTATCTGAAGGGAGGGTGCCAAGAGGATGGATCCAGGCTCTTCTCAGTGGTGCCAAGCAGTAGGACAAGAGGCAGAAACTGATGCACAGGAAGTTCCACCTGAACCTGAAGAAGAACTTCTTTACTGTGTGGGTGACCATGCACTGGAACAGATTGCCCAGAAAGGCTGTGGAGTCTCCCTCACTGGAGATACTCAAGAATCATCTGGACACAATCCTCTGCCATGTGCTCTGGGGTGACCTGCTTGAGCAGGGAGGTTGGATTAGATGACCCACTGTGGTCCCTTTCAGTCTGACCCATTCTGTGATCCTGTGTTTCACACCATCAAGGTAAACTAAAATTCTGCTTGATTCTTTCTGATAAATAATCTGAAGCACTGAGGTTGGACTCAGTGTGGAGAATTTCCCATTTTGAGCTGATGACATTCTGACAGTGGGTTCCCCACATGACCTGCAGCATCTGACTCCTGTGGTCTTCACAGTCCTCAGAGGACATTTGCCTGCTGCCATCACTTCTGGCCTGAAAAAGAGTTAGAGGACAGAAGATGGCAGATATCACATTGCAAAATATACATAAAAACAGGATTGAAACCTTTGAATTTTATTTAGGAAAATTGATGCAAGCTTTCATAATTTCATGTATTAGAAAACCCCTTCTTTTAATTATATAAGCAGAGCTTTCTGACTCCCAATAGCCAACCATTCCTTCCTTTAAACGGAGCTGTCCAGATTCAGAGTTTGAAGCAAGGTCCATTAGACCTGTAATCAGTTTTTATGACAGTCTTTGAGCAAGCAATAGCTTTTGCCATAGCAATAACTCAATTCACAGTTTTCTTCAGGATTGCAAGCTGAGTAACTGGTTGACATGTGACAGTAGGATTTCTCCCTGTTAAGGAATGGTAAAAATGTATCATTAACCAGCTCTTATTAGACTATTTTTGATCAAAATGCTGTATGCATGCAAAGTGGTTACAAATACCTCAATAATTTTATTATTTTATTTAGAGATCTTTATTGTCTGAACACCAAGCTTATTATAGCAGTGGCAATTCAGAGTGCTTTTGCAAGGCTGAAAAGTTGTATAGAAATGTTCCTACATGCAATTATGCACACACATAGGCATACAAATCTCTTTACTAGAGTGTTAAAAAGAGCTAAACATTTTATGAAAACCAGGAAGAGAAACAGGACTATGAATTAAATATAAAAGCCATCTATGTTGTTTACCCCTTAAGTTTATCCCTTTTATTTTAATGCTATTGATATGAAATAAGAAAAACATGATAAAACCAACACAATTTTGTAAATAATATCTTAAAAATCACATTAATCTACAAGCTCTTCTAATCTTGAGAAGTATAGCATGACTGCTTGTAAGAGATTACTATTTTTAGATATTTGGAATTTCTTTTAGCAGAATATTGTTGAGAGAAATGACATATTTGAATCTGGCCTTCATAGTAAAAAAAAAATTATAACATGAACCATGCAGACATTCTAGAAAAGACAATTAGCAATTTGTCAAGGACAAGTTTCTAAACTCTTAAGGGCTTTTAACCTCACATAGATTTCTGCAGCAACTGAACATTCTGTGTATGTGTCCCCAAAGTTATTGTGTAGTCATATTAAATAGCACCTATGATCATCACTATTTTTTGCCAATCTTAACTTGTTACTACGTGATAACTCTTGTATGCTTGTGAAAAAAATGGTCATGCATCAATCCTCTAGAGCATTAACTCTCCCATACTTTTTAACAACACTTTTTTGTCATAAAGCTTTTAATAAAAATAAGGGGAAATGCATCATCTTATAATAATGTAAATGTGAGTTCTGTTCTTCAGAGGCAGGAAGCTTTGGGAGCAAATTATGTTTATGGAGCTAAATGTACTTGCCTCCCATCCCAGTAACTATTTGTCTGACGAGTAACCCTCAGTCTAGCAGAGTGCAGGCATTGCTCTGCTCCTTACAGACTTTTTTCAGTGGGAAAATTATGGCTCTGCTTCCCCCTTCAAATTAAGGGGGCAAGGAGGTTAGGCAGGATGTTGATCCATACATTATACTTAGGGCAGGATCCTGGAATAAACCTCTCAGCTGTTAGAAACTGTCAGAGCTCCGTGGGTCATGGCAGGCCCCCGTGTAACACCTCACATGCTCCAGCTGAAAGCTCAGTGCTCACTGGTACTCAGCTGTGGTATCGACCCACTGCTACTTCAGAAGAAAAATCACCACTTTCTGAATTACCAGTGCTCTCCCAACATTTTTCCTTTGGTGATCTCATGTCAGACATAGTCCTGCTTATAAGATCTGCTGAGATCAGAACTCAAATTAGTATAATAGAACTTTTGTCTCTTTACATGAGAGGTACTCTAATTCTTTTAAGGGGCTCCTCATAGGGAACAGTGTTATTCTCCACTCTGCCTCGTTCTTTATCATTGCAATCCTTCCTCCAAGTTTTCCCAGAAAGCATCTAATCCTCTGACCCTTAAGACTTTGCAATCAGAAAGGAGGACTCAAGCATAAGAATTGCAGTTACAAGTTTTTCTGTGCTCTGAGAAATTACAGGCATAGTTGACTTTAATGAAGTTAGGAAAGCAGGCAAATCAATTTAGCCTATAACGCCAATTGTCTGATTCAAACAAAAGAACTTGTCAAACATATTATATCAGGCAAATCTGAGTAGTCCTGAACTGTAATACTGATGTCTCTAAAATCTACATTTTGTGGGTGCCTAAGGTATGCAAGGCTGGCAATTAAGATTGCTTTTTGAATAGGGTTTTAGTAGGTTTCACTGTGGATATATCAGGTAGTATTGGCTACCAATTCATAACAGAGAGGAAGGATTCTGTTTATAATTATGAAAAGCATGTTTTCTGACCATTAATAGGGTATATCTTGTTAATTATGATGATATATAAGGTGTTTCACCTATGATGCCATTTAGAAAATTAATGTTTTGAGTCACAGAAAGGTTATTGCCCTTCTGGAAGGAATCCATTCATCTCTAAATAGGCCATCCAAATATAGACTAAGAAATACACTATATATAATTACCTAGAAATAGATGGAATAAATAAGATTGATGATAGGTATTACTAAAGCCACACTTTAGTTTCCTACTAGGAAAAAGTAGATCGTAACTGCAAGAAACAATAATATACATGTAAAAATGCAAGAAATAGGTTAAAGTCTTGAGCAGTTATGTGAGGTTCAGCTATTATATATGAGGTGAGAACTCATCAGCCTTCAGAAATGGTGCACATGAAGGACTTTGTCCTGAGATTTGGTCAGGTATTTCTGAAGACAGCTCCTACAAAGAAGAGAATGAGGACTTCTTGGGGTTTTTTAAACAACTATGTGTCTTGTTTGACAGCATAACTTCATAGCATCTCTATATTTGCCACACAAATGCTTACAGGTAGATAGAATGCATGTGCTGTCTTTGAAGATAAACATGTTAATGAATATTCCCATGTGTGAGTCTTCTTTTGACGCAGGCATATCACTGAAGAGTGACGCTGAGCACAGAGGAGCCCAGGAGCTGTGATGGAGATAGACTTCTCTTTCTAAACATTAAAGGTTTAGTTTTTAAAAGTACAGAATAAAAGCTCAGAATGGCTGTTGGTGAAGCAAGCTCTCAAGTAGAGAAGGAGAAGGAGATTCCTTCAGTTGAAAGCCTACTGTTTAACCTTAACTCATCTGTGGGATGGACAAAGTGAGCCCCAGATTCATAGCCACTTGCTGCAATGCTGGCTTGGAGGGATTAATCTCGGTAGGTGAGAAGGCAATTGAGTAACTACAATCCCGACCCCATCCCTGCCAAATGAGTAGGTTTGTCTCACCAAGGTTAACAATGTGTGTTTTGTTACCACATGAAAGGCAGACAGACAACTTTCCAGCACAGCTGACCTGTGTGAGATGGGACGTGCTGGCCATGACCCTGCCTCTCTGGGAGCTGAGGGTCTGCAGCCCCTGAAGAATTACTCAGGCTCTATGTAGGATCCCGGGGTGGGTGGGGAAATCTCAAGTTGTCCCAGCAGCTACACATTCTCCTGCTCTGTTCTGCAGCTTGGTCACCTGCAGCAGG